GTAACTAACCGATCGTCGATCAGAGTATACATACCTCAGATTATCCCCTGTAGCACGCTCTTCTAGTGTAAGTGTCCTGTAGCGTTGCATCGAGGTTTGTGCCCACCTGGGTGCTCTCAGGCCCGCTGCTTAAATTACTATACCTGCGGGTTCTTAATCTTCAAGCTCTTGGCCTAGTGGTAGTGCAGTCAAAGCCATCAGCCGTCAACAGCAAAATGTCCTCCATAAAAAAGTGCGGCTCATATTTTGAGCCGAGTGTTGAACAATCAACACCGCCTGATGCCTCGTAGAGGCGAAACTCGTGTCAAGTGTATTTTTCGTGATGCTTTTTAGTAGCGTTTGTATTATTAATTTTATGCGACGAAAGGGTAGAAAAAATTCAACACAAGCGTAGGTAGCGATTGTAAGCGATCTAACCTTCACTGGGTTCGCGGAGTACCCAAATAATTTTTATTAATACGGGTTTTTGCAAAGTAACGCGTGAATCCATAAATTGTCCATTATTAGTTATACTATAGCTATACTTATATAGCATGAACATTTCATTCAAAAAGGTTGCGTAATTTTGGTTAACCCATATTAAATATGGGTGAACCTGAAAAAAAAATATGGAACCTTTTTAGAAATGACACAGATGACAGCGCTTCAAGATATACTTGAATGAAAAATATAATTGAACTGAACGCGATATTTACAGATTCTGATTCATGTTTGTTTCAGAAGTGAGTGAGTACCTATGATATCTGTTACTTGAAACGTAAATTTATGAATAAAACGTTTATTATACTACCCGATTCCAAGGGACCCTAGCTCTAAGGGAGGTGTAATAACAGTTACAGAAGGGATTTTTTTAATAAGAGTGGCGCCCTCATTAGGGGCCACACCCATCCTTGAAGCAGGGCTCTTGAAATAGGTATACATTATATATTAGGAGAAAGAAGACCGTAAAGGTGCTGGTGAAATATTTTGATTTTTTTTTATAATAACAAGTGACGTGAAGAACAAGTCGTGTGCCTGGTGGTAAACTACACGCCTGTCTATAACAGTTGCAGTGCTACTCAGTGCTGTAAATCGCAAAGATCTGAGGGGCACTGCCTCTGCGCATGTACCCTGAGATATAAATTGACAAGTCCCATGTGCCTGTAATTTCACTAGCACCCTTACCCTGCAAAGCCGAAATACTGACAGTAATATTGGCGTTACTGCTTGGCGGTAGAAATATCTCCCTCATCTCAGATCTCCGTGTAATAGTTTCTCTAGAGACTCTATCCACTACGATCTCTCTACGGGGGTTAATGACTGGTTTTCTAGCGAACTTTTTCCGACATACCTACAGAATTACTTCTCTCACATAGGAAGCAAGTGATTAATTCGTGACCTTACCAAATCGGATGCTGTATTGCTCATATTGCAGACACATGGGACTTGTCAAGTTTATGATACCAAAAACGTTTATATAAAAATAATCACATTATTCGCAATAAGATCTATACAGATCTATTTCTTTTTATTTTCAAGTGGAATTTTTTCAATCCCACAATTTTGAGTTACGAAAGTATTCAGTTTCATGTGTGATATTCATGGGTATTGTGTGAGTGGCCATAAAAGATAAAAAATTTAATATAAGTGTCGTAGGTCAACTAAGCCGTATGAATTAGTGTTTTTAAGGATATTTTGCAGTTGACCTTGAGTGCGCAACCGGATAAGAAATTTGTGTGTTACTTTATTTTCAGTGTACTATTTCATTTATCTTATCTTCTTGAGAGAAATTTTTCAATTCGAAATTAACATTAGTAAAGTTTGACAATTATTAGCAATATTTTATCATACGAACATGCGATGCGATAACCGACCAAATAAAATAAATAAATGTATGATGTTTATTTATTTTATTTCTTTAATATGGCACAATTACAGATAATAGACTACAAATAATACTTAGAAATATTACATAATCATGTAACATGGTTTTGACATTCTGACATTCAATTACTTATAATTGTTTACAACATTCATATTAGGTAAATATTATCATAAAAAGAAAAATGTGAAAGATAATATTGATGTTATTTTTTGCTTAAACTAGAGTACAGTGTTGTTTTAAAAGACATTGTAATGACTACAGAAAAAAATATTATAGGGTCGACACATAATTCGACTCAGAATTCAGTGTGTAATAGTCCATTTGGTGAAACAATGCTCGTTGTCAGTGATAAACTTTATAACGGTGGAATATGCGTGACCAAGTATGTACCGTAAACATAGATAAATGTTCGACCGGAAAGTTCACGATAAAATTAACTATTTTATGCATAGGTCCGACACGTGCCTATGATCTTCGAGACTGACCATACAGGAGTCCAAAGTTATAAGGCAGTTTACTCCGAAGTCCGCAGTTTTCACTTAAAAGTAAGGTCAAGATAGATAGGTTACTTGTATAGTTTGCTTATATCAATTATTATAAAAAATGGGGTTGACTTGTTGCATAAGACCCATTGTCCGCCAAAGCAGAATACTACTTCAGCAACCAATAGATTTTTTTCTTTTGACTAAGCAGCTGCGTGGTAAGACACAATAACCATATACTATTGTTTACTAAAACATAGCTCCCTCATATCTACTTTGATAGATAATAGACGCTTACGTCTTATAATGCGTAAGTCCTATAATGCCTATAATGCAAAAGATGATATGGATAAGAAAGGTGTATGGAAATGTCGGCCGATAGGGGAGACTGGAAGAAAAATACACGTGCCGACCCCACCTAGAGTGGGACAAGGACAGGAAGAAGAATAGCAAGCTAAAGTTTTAATAATTAATCCTTTCACGGACAGTTACGGCGTTTACCGTAAAATTAAATATAGGAATATGATAGTACCCATAATACCCCGCTTCGCTATATGGATCTCAAAAAACCAACTACGGGCTTTACAGTACAATTTTCAAGTGCTTTCTGGGTAGTTGCCGCTTACTACTTTTCCATAGAGACGTATCAACAACGTAGTGACAAAATTCAATGGTTTACATAATTATAATCAATATTTTATATTGAATCAATATAAGCACTACGCCAAGAAAAGTACTGACACTTTTGTGTGCGGTATTTAAGTACAGTCCATGAAAGCGTTAAGGTTACCTAGAAGAATTTACTGATAACAAGGCGTCCATTGCAATTTTATGTTTTTGTAAGTTGTGTCTTGTTATTGACTGCAATAAAAAACAAAAGAATTGAAAAATTCCAAGACCACGATTATTCATATCCCTGTCTTCATACCGTTATTAAAGCCTCATAACTTGGCTTTACTAAATGTCGATCCACTCTCACTACCAATTTTTAAAAATATGGACGATAGTGGACACCGTGTACACAGATTTCAAGGCTTTCGAGAGGGTGGATTTTGAAAAGCTTGCAAACTAAGAAACATATAAGATTGTTTGCTTCTTACGTTATGTAGAATTAAAAACATTGTTGTCAATGTTATAATTTGACACATCCAGTGTGGTGTACCTACCTCAAGGGTCTAATTTTGAACCTCTTCTGTTGTTGTGTATTTGTATATTGACAATTGTAAATAAATAAATAGACATAGAAACACTCAATACTACTTCAAATGGCTTTGGTTGAGTCCGCAAAAGTGAAATTGTTGAATCAATCACTTTGGAAAAAATATATAGTAAAATTTAGGATATACACTGATTACAATATGGCGTGAAGACGATTCTTAAAAGTTTTCACGATAGAAAAAGAACAAACTTACCTCGAAATTTTACAAGAAAACCGATGTATTCAATAAATAGTTTACATATACCAATTACTTTTTTTTTATATCGACTGGACGAAATAGAACACGTGTACTACACGATATACATTTCTCAAATGGTTTTAATTCGTTTCTAAAAAAATAAATTCTGAAATAAAGCCAGAGTCCAAGCCGCTCGACCTCAGCAAAATGAACCGTACGAGAAACATTTGAATTTGAACTGAGCTAGTATCGACTCTTAAAAACAAATATAGTTTACCATATATCAAATACGGAAAATATATTTACTTTTTTTTTTAAAAAAGAACATTAAACACAATTAGGGTTGTATATGTACATACGCAATAGAAGCGTTTGGGTACTTAAAGTATATAAAGTATACACTTTTAATATTAGACGAACCTATTTACATTAGTGCCTCATCAATTAGTTGACTTGTGATCAAATGAAGCACCGCTCTTCAATAAACTAGGCGGTATATCGATTCTCTAACAAAGCGCAGCAGTCTTTAATTATTTTTTTTTTCTTCTGTTTTCTGTATATTTTTGCCACCTGAAATATTTTTTTAGTTTTTCAGTTTTGTATAATTTTGAAGTGAATATTTTTCCCGTGGACCTAGAGATAGAGTTTTTTATAAACGTTTCAAAATTTCATTACTTAAATTGAAGACCCGCGGAATAATTTCATTCGGAAATTGCAAAATACCTACCCATATTCTGACCCATACAAAAACCACATCAGTTTTAAATTTGCACTTATGAATCACTTATTATTTTATATAAAAAAAAAAACACGAAAATCTATGGGTTAAAAAAGAGATTAATAAAATAAATATAATCTTATCACCATGCTTGTTCGCGATCCCTGCGCGGTTAATTGTAGTATGAAGAAGACTGAAATCGTTCTCTGGGTGATCGACAATAAATACAAAACAAGAATATTATACACAAACATACATTTTTTATAAAAAAAATATTTTTTTTATTGCATTACTCCCTGTACCCATAATAAAACGACACGTACCATTGTAAAGTACACATATTTTTCAATAAATCTAGCCTTCTGTACGACGTGGGTATACTTTTTATAATTTGTTGGGCCATGATCTTTGGGTAGACGTCGTTTCGCTGCGCTTTGATTACTTTTCAAAGGGACTCTTAATAGCAGAATAAAGTGTATTCTCCATATTAATAAGATATATTCTAAGAGCTACCTGACGAAGGCACAGACCTAATAAGTAAGTTTCTTACACTGCTACATAAAATAATTCCGAAGGTTTCTAATGGAATATAAACAACAAAATAAGAATCACAGGTTTTTATTTCAATAACTAAAAAGAAATGCAAAGAATTTTCCAACTTTACACTCCAGTAACGTCTAGGGCTACTATATGGATAACTTTAATGAGAAATGAATGATTACAAAAACGTTACACATTAAACATTTTCCTATAAGTCTTATAAAGTCTCTCGTTAACGCCCGTCGCACTTCAGAACAGTAATAGCACTTAACAATATCGATTAAAGTACACGTACAATACTCGAGATACCACCTTCAGTCATTCTTAACTTAAACCGTCGCGTTATAAAGGAATTTAAGACTCTCTTTAACGCAAACTCGCAGAGTCACTTGTCAATTTAAGAGTTAACGTTTGTGGGCGTTATAACTGATGCACGTTAAGTCTTAATGTTAGCAGAGGGCCGGCATTAGCCGTCCTCCTTTGGAGGCGTGAACCAACCTGTAACGCATAAAAGTTCAATTAGATGACAGAAAACGTTATTATCTCTAGTTACACGTATTTTTATGTCGACCCGGAAAAACAATAAAGTCATACCGCGATAAGAAAATTGTAACTAGTTATAATCGTTTAGTGAATAATTAAAACGGTTATAATTTAAACAGGAACAATTCTGTAAAAATGTAATGTGTTTCCTCCTCCATACGGTAGTAATTAGATGGCTAATGGTCTTATATGGATCAATATTTTAAAGATAATATTTGCCATCGAGCCGTCAGACTTTATACTAAAGATTTATTAGTTACGTTACGTTTGTCTAAATGTTACAATAATAAGCATAAATAGTCACCAAAATTAAAAGGTGTTTAAGCGACCAACAGGATTAAATTTGTCACAAAGCGAACGTATAAAAATGACAATATGCTACTGGTTTTAATTGAGCACATCATTGTACTCTGTTTTGGTAAATAGACCATAACTATTTAAATTTTAAATGTTTGTAGAAATTGACTCTCCTCTCAATGAATAAAGTCCTCTTCCAACTTTTGTCACTATTACGTACCCTTGTCACGAGCTAATTTAATATTTCGAAATATTCCTATATTAGCCGTATCACGTTCAGTAGGTGTCTTCAGCATTTAAGTTGCGATAGCAGAAGCGTGAAAACCTTGTAGAAAACTATAGTAATCATTATCATTTTTTTTGTATTTCAATATCTGTTCAGTTGTATTGAAATTTTAACTTTAAATGTAATTGTTTTTGGCGCCGTTTCTTTATCGTTGCTTTGTCTTATTTTGACGATCGTGTACATCTTATATTTTGTTTCAGTTTTTAAATAAACTATAAGTCATCGAGTACATAACCAGAAATAGAGACAAAATAAGGGCCATCCATCCCTGGCAACTCATCGGGCAAATGGGCCTTATATCACTTTTAAATATCAATTCTCGTTTGCGCTGAAATTACAAATTACAAATTACAACGCTGAAATAGTACAGTTCCAACAACTGACCTGTGTGTACATCCTCAGATATTCCAAAAATATTCTGTATTTATTGTAATCATTGACCTACCAATAAATGGACGTCGGGTTCGCGCTAAAAAGTGTTCGTACCTATAGTGCGTTAAAATCGCATACAGAGCGTCAATCGTGCAACAATCTTCGTTTGTTCGACTGACAGCGCGATTGTCAATCATGCAGTACCATATAATAATAACTTGTAAAGCTTACTGCAGTAAAGTGTAAAAACAGGATTTTGTATCATATTTTCACTAAACAAATATATTGTGTTATATATAAAGGGTTATTTTGTACAGTTTTATATAATTTAATTTATATATAAATGAATCGTAAATATAAATTACAAAAGCACACAAAATAATCAAATAGCTAACTGTCCTTTATCTACACATTTCATGCGCAAAAGATGGAAAGAGACCCATTACGTACGACTCATTAAGTAGAAGCTTACATAAACTTCTTGGTCATTTTCAATTGTTCGAACCACAAGCGATTGAAATATTGAGAACAAAGAAACTATAGAGTCGCTTTGATTTTAATCTTATTTTTAAAATGATTTTTTATTACACGTTAGCAGTAACTAACAAAATATTGTTGTACCGTTTTACGGCTTGGGATTACCTATCAGAAGTCAGAAAATACATTTGCCCGAAATAACATTAGCTCGAATTTTCATAATGTTAATGTTGTACTTTTTTAAGAAAATTACAAAACAAAAACTAATTTTATCTTTGTGAAAAGCATCAAAATTACTCGAAAGCGTAACGGTTTTATTATAAATCGGTTTTCGAAATTACGATTATTTGATTATACGTTTAGTTGGAATATCGGTACATTTCTTATAGTACACGCTTATTTTCACATTTGTAGTAATATGTGTATGTATGTATCTGCCCAACTCTTTACTATTTCTTTAAGTGAATTTGTACTAAATTCGACATAATAATATATATAAAAATTAATTAATATTTACGATAAAGGTTAGTCACGTGTTCACTAAATATGGTGCATTTTCTTAAATTTTCAGTAGAAACTGAATGTGGTGTTTTTGGGCCCGTAAATTGTTGCAAGCAAAATTAGGCAGTACTGCAATAGCGTTACAGTTTAAATTAAATGTTTTAGTTTTTTTATATTTCGTAACATGTCACTACGTTTGTATAGGTTAACTACGGACATTTTTTTCGTGATTTTTGTATTAGATCCGACGTCCATTTGTTGGTAGGTCAATGATTGTATTAAAGATAATATCTCTAAGAATGGGGGCTGTTCCATTCGGTGGTGTAGGGAAAACAGCAAAACATCTAATTACAAAACAAACGGAATCACATTTCATAGGTAATTAAATATTAAATATGTAATTTAGCAATTTTCGTCCATTATAGCAAAGTTCAAGTTAAACTGGTTGATAGAAGTGCAGAGCTGGCCAATCGGAGCGCAGTTGTCACAGTAATGATTTGGCAGAATAGTTTTCAAACATATTAAATGACATTTCGTCTGTATTTCTGGTTATATACTCCATGCTATAAGTACATTGATCTTGTACACTCCTCATTAGCAACCAAACCTGTTCAACTCCATGCGCAGGTTCGGTTTTTTTTATTTGTAAAAAAACATACAACAGCTGTTGATTAATATACAAAACTTACCTGTAAAAATAGACCATGTTAAGAGATATGGGAGACAATTGTTCTCGTGCGTTCTGTATGAAAATCATGGGTGACACTTGACAAATTATATTTTAAAAGCTACATCAGAAACAGACTACAAAAATGCAAACTTCCTGGATTTGGTTTTGCAGGACCAATTTCATTGGATTATACAATATGGCCTCACTTTCTCAAACTCGTATCTTAAAGCACAAAGTTACTGAAATGCAAAAAATGGATTGTATATACAAATTTTGCTGACTGATTTCACATCATATTTCCTTCATATTCACACACTGGCTTTTATTCTGGCTATTCTTAAAGTAATGTATCCAAATTAACTCCCTTGACAAGATATTTAAAATAAATAGAAAGTTTTGCCATCTCCTGAACAATCACTCTTTATAAGATACGAGTTTGAGAAAGTAAAGCGATTAAAAAAGATCGTCGAACTTCTGTGCTGCCGATCAGGTATCTCTTTTTTGTCATCTACTTTATTATGAAGTAGTGGTCCTTGGTTGGACGTTATGGCGTTACATCAGTGCTGTCAAATTATTAAAATAGATTTTAACGTTATTGTAAGTACCTGTCGATGATCACATTGCACGCATCCTTAGAACTAACCGCGAAAACATAAAATAAGGCAATTGGAAAAATAATATCACAATAGAATTAAAGTGTTTTTTCCGATCGTGACGTTGGAAAAAATCGTCATTTCCTATAGTGGAGCCATACAATTTTGAAAAATAGAATATAATAGGGTTGGTGCCAAGCCTATTAAAAACTAACCAACCCTATAAAAAAAATCTATTTAACATAAGCAAACGATACATTCGTTTTTTACTTATTTTGTCTATTTCCATAAAGTACTATTTTTCGATTTCGTCAGCTTGGGTGTGATATATTTATTTTTATTTTTATTTATTTATTTATATTCAGGTTACTGAGACCCATAGATACATACATTACAGACTAACATACATAACAATATAAAATAACACTAATTACTAATTTAACACGTATTTAGGTTGTCGGCGACGTGTGGCGCCATCTGGTGTCAGGCAACCGGCCACGGAATCGCCGGTATAGGACACCCTTCGGCCAGAACTCCTCCTTCATGAAGGTCGACAGATGTTCGGTCGGCACTCTCACCACAAACGAATTAAAGTTCACGTAGTGGCGGGACTCCAACCGCTCGACCCTCAGGGTGTATTTGGATTTCAACCTGATGTACTCCACTATCTCCTCAGACTTCGTGGAGTAATGCAGGCGTGACAGGTACAGCAGCGTTGTCGGGATTGCCGGACGCAGCAAAAAGTTGGACCCTGTCGGTGCAGTGCCGCACAGGTTACGGCTGGTGGGCTTCCTCTTCTTCTTCTCCACCTTTGTGAAGCCGTCATCGTCGCACCGGTCCGTCTGCCTCTGTGGTTTTGCAACTTCAGAGACAGGTACACGAGGTTTTTTCATCCCCTTCGTTGATAGCTGCCTGGCTTGTGGTTGTGGAGCAACGGGTCGGTTAACAGCTGCGACAGCGGCGTAATCACGTGGAGGGGTCAACGTGTTTACGCGTGACGTCTCCGCCGGAGCGGACAATCGAGGGGCGGGGCGCGGGGAAACGCGCTCAGCGACAGCGGTCGGTGACGCATCCGTATGGGCCGACTCAAAACTGCCGATAGATGCATTATGTGCCCCGCGACGAGTATTCACGTTACAGGCCTCGGGTGACCTACTTACCGAAGTTGCACTACTCAGTAATACAACTTGGGCACGTAACTCACAGATGGTGTTATCCGAAGCCTCCAATTTACATTGAACTTCGGCCAGACTTGCTTTCAGGGATGTGATGTCCTTAAGCAGCCTAGTGACATCGACATGGTCGAACGTGACAGGGGGCAGCTTGTGCAGCTCCTTTGCCACGAAAGCAGGCACGTCGTCTGGGTCGGTTTCCTTTAACATCGTTATAATGTCCTGGATACTCTTCGTTCCTCCATCCCTCCGGCGAGATGGCATCTGCTCGGCCTTGCCAAGCACACGGAAAAGCAGCGCCTTGCCACTGCAAATCTCATCTTCTTTAAAGTTTGATTTGCAGATCTGCATGATGCTGACTTCGTCCATAGTGTCGATGGCGTGTTGTATGAACGCCAGCAGTTCATTGGCTATGAGTTGTTGGGAACCCATAGTCAATTACGCGCAGCGGTCATTACCGCGCGGATCGCGAATTAATATAATTCTTACTGTGTGAGCACGTCCGAATCTGAGCGTGCATCGCACCGGACTGATTATATAACACTGATTATATAACCGATATTTAACATGGCAATAAAAGGAACCAAAGCAAACGCCAAAAACCGATCATAAGTAAGCAATTTCTGGATGAGTTATTTTACTTGGTTTCATCGAGGTTTATTTATAAAGGTTTTTTTCAATAAATGAAAGAAAACGACAAATTTGTCCACAAAAAACTAAAACGAGAGAATATTTTTTAAAACCAATACTTTTAAACACAATTTTAAAAAACGCGCCCTGCGTTAAAAAACTAGTGGATGACTTGTCGGTATGGCATATGTTGTATACAATGGACAAATATTAAATGTTTAACCTAGGGGTAAAAAATGAATTTTCATACAGATTTCGCGGAGTAATTTGTCTTGAATTTTGGTTGTAACTGCGTTTTCTTTCATAATAAAAGTGAACATGTTCGAGCATGTTTTGCAAATTCTCAGGGTCGCTAACATTGCATACTTGCTAGCGCCACAAATGATATAATAGATAGATGATCGGTCTGTAAATACCTGGCTCAGTCGGCCAACGTTTTTGATTCCTTGGGGAATCCTGTGATCTATGGTATCAATGGTAAGTATGGCATTACTTGTGATTCGTCGGTATGAGTTTGGAATTGTAATCTTAAGGCGAAAGAACAAAAATGAAAATACAGACCGTTCTTCTCGTGTATCTGCACGAGGCACTTGAAACTCTGCTGCGCGCGCGCCAGGCTGTACTGCGACTGCGAGACGACTTTCGTGGCCCCGAACTGGATACGCGCCTTGCCCTTGACGAGGGTCGCGGCGATCTGCATTATGACTGCCTCCACGGTGTACGCGGACGACCAGCCCTGTTTCGTTAGGAGTTCCATGCAGATTGCTCCGCCTACTAGTACGTAGCCTCCTGGAAAAATATTCATCAATGGTTTACATAGGGTTTATTTTAATCGTATATATATATATAATTAATGTATATATAATTTACTTTTGTGTGCAAATTGCAAATAATCGCGATGAAAAGGTTTGAAATTCGATCATCGAGTTCCTAAACTAAGCAATTTAGCAATTTAATAAATTAAAAATATGAAGTCTTATTCAAAACATTATTACGGCCTTTCTCTGATTAGTGTTCACTACTAAATTTCCGTGGAATGTTTTACTATTTAAATGTTCTAGTATATTTTCGTGTAATTGTTAAATAATATTTCACGATACAATACCAATTAAATAATATTGCAGGAAAAAAAATCGTACTTAAATAATAAAAATTGCCTACGGAAATTAAGTAGTGAACACTAGTCCGAGAATGACCGATAATAATTCTGGGTAAAGGTTCCATCAAACTAGTGGAATAGGCTTAAAACAGGTCAGCAAAAGCTTTATGCAATATTTTCATACAATATTTAGAAGCGCAGTTGCAACGCCGTTGTCGTGAGACGCGTATTTCACTTTTACAGTCACAATAGGGACCTAAAATTTACAAAAACGCAACAGACGCACGGCTGCTGCGTCACAAACACGCCACACTACAGCGCTTCTATAAGCGTCGTAATTTTAATAGGCGGTATCCAATGTTACACAAAACTTGTTTTGCAATATTGAACCAGACGTAGTTCTCACCTGATATAATAGGATAAACAACGCGGACAAAAGGCGGCTCAAAAGGATAAGTCTCCTTGAACATAATGTTGAGCAGGATAGAGTCCTTGCCCTCTTTTTCTTTCAATAGCAGAAGATCATTGTGCAGCGGACTGTCTGGGTCCACTGAGCGCAGTCTGATGTTCCACTCGTACAGCGAGTCGTTTACTAACTCTGGAAATTGATAGAAAATTTAAATTAACGTCAAAAATCCGTTTTTATATACACAAGATAACGATTTACGGGAAGGAAATTATGTTTTACTCGCGTTGAAATTAAAGAATCAGCCAAAAAACCATTGACGGTAGCTATTCGATGTTGATGATTTTTTGTTGAATTAACAGGACTAGGATAGCGTCAATGGTTTCATCATCAACCCATGTATACGTCCCACTGCTTGGCACGGGTCTCCTCTCAGGAGTATAGGCCATAGTCCTCCACACTGGCCCAAATGCGGGTTGGAGACTTCACACGTTTTCCGAGGGTGGTGAACCTTCATCGACGTGCAGATTTCATCACGATGTTTTCCTTCGCCGAAGAACCAATGGTATGTTTCACATTAAATTTCACACAGATTCCTCTCACAATTCCGAGAAAGTCAGAGTTATGAGCCTGGATTCTAACCCACGTCCTCTGCTTGAGAGGCGGTAAAGTCAAAGATTATTTATTCCATAGGTAAAATAAATTTACACTTGAAAACGTCACATTTAAGCTACTGCTCGTTCACTACGCTGACCTCCCTGAGAAGAACGAGCAAGAAACTCTAGGGATTGCTCTTTTCAAATAAACTTAAATGCCACGGAATACCCTTTGAATCAAATTTGTGTGTATTCTGGAGTCGTGTCGTCTTTCCATACATCTTTATCTAACACGTAGTCTTCAATTTTGTAATATAATTTTTCGATCAAAATATTTTTAATGTAGTTTTTAAACTTAGGAAATGATAAACTTAATATATGCTCCGGAATCTTATTGTAAAAACGTATACAGTTCCCCATAAAAGAGTTGTTTACCTTGGTTAAACGAAATCGTGGTACCATGAGTTTGGACTTAGCTCTAAGGTTAATATTATGGATATCTTCTTTCTTATTGAAATTATGTATATTGTTACGAGCATATAAAATATTTGAGTAAATGTACTGTGATGCCACAGTCATGATACCAGTCTCCTTAAACTTTTCTCTGAGAGAAACCCGAGAGCCTAGACGGTACACAGAACGAATCGCTCGTTTTTGCAATACAAATATGGTTTGAATATCTGCCGCTTTACCCCACATGAGAATCCCGTAGGACATTATACTATGGAAGTAACTAAAGTCAACTAGTCTAGCAGTACTAACATCGGTAAGCTCACGTATTCTGCGGACTGCGTATGCAGCGGAGCTTAATCTGCTGGCCAGGGAAGATATACGTGGAAACCATTGAAGTTTACTATTATTTAAGGTCACTCCCAAGAAGACTGCTTTATTAAAAAGGTCTAACTTTTGTCCGTTTATTTCTATGCTTGGACTAGTCGATTTTACGTTAGGTAATTCAAATTTAAACTAAATTTAACACATTTTGTCTTCTTGGCATTAAGCAATAAACAATAAGCAATAAATAGGTCTAATAGGTAGGTAGGTCTAACCATGTTTTTTTCAATGGTTTACGATAGATAGTTATATCTATATAGATAGATAAGATAGTTTTACACACATATATATATATATATATATATATATATATATATATATCATATAGATTGTTTCATTTGGGTATTTTTGGGACGCTATACAAAAAGTTATATTTAAATTGACTTCTAAAAGAAAAAAAATCTCGTTTCCACCTTGGATAGAAATAATGCAGAATAATGAAAAAGATAGTATTTTTTGGTGATGAAACTTCTTTAAGGCTATGGAAAGAAACGCTATTTCCGTATAAAATTTACATTACCTCACACTAAATACAAACAATTGCGAATATTACAATTCGAAATTAAAAATTAAACCTTGTTGATACAGCTGCATTTTTGGGTTTAACTACTTTGGGTGTAAATATGTGTAAAATTACAATGGGCGAAATTAATCCATGGATGCGATGTAATAGATAGGTTGATAATAATGACGATGATGTTGAATGATTAGTGATTAGTTATACAAGAATAATAACTCGCAGTATTGACACCATACTCTCACATAGTGCAAAAGAATAAGAAAACTCGGTATTTTAGTCATAAGCAAGCCTTGTGAGAGTACTAAACATATCATTAATTCCTTCAATACAGGGAGAGCTACCCAGATCAGACGTGTTTTTTTTTAGTTGGTCATACCAGGAAATATTTTTTTTAAACAGGGTTCGAGTTAAAAAATCTTTTAAGACAATAGGGAACATAAGGGGAAAATGTTTGGATATTTGTTAGTTAATGACGAATTTGAAAGTTATAATTGAGTGGGGAAGAAGACCAAGAATGGCGTACAGTTAACAAATAAATAACGTCAAAGTTAGCAGCTTTAAAGAGGTCAAGGAGCTAGTTATGAACTGTGAGGAGTTGAGGAGACTTAGACCGACACGAACCTGGCTCTTAAATAGGGCGAAAAAACGGTTGAGTCCACCAGGATCCCCTAGCCCAATCCCCCAGGGGATCTTTGTGAACTCAGCAGTTCATTAGAATCCCCTAAGTTAAATGTATGTAAAGTTGCAATCACATTGCGACAATAAATAATTACTTATCGTACTAACAATTGTCGAGAAAGCTGGAACTCAGGTTTAATTAAAATGATTGGCCGTAAACGCCCCAACATCATACAATTGTTAAAGGTACTGAAAAGAACAAAAGCTACAAGACGCAAAAAAATGTAATTGCAAATGATAAATTCATCCAAGAAGTAGAGCTGGAATTATTGAATAATGATATAACTGTAGGACAGTTTTTAGATATAGTTAGGTAAATGATAGTACCAATAGTGTTAAACTAGCCACAGTTCGCTGAAATTTCATTTGTTTTTCGGCTTTTTTTCGCCCATTTTTCACATTCATTATTTCTTTATGAATTTTTTTTTTTTTTTTTTTATTATGATTTAGCATTATTTCTATTATTAATTTCTTGAATATGGCGAGAATGCAAATAAACACTATAGCGCCATGGCGCTAACCGTTAAGCTAAGACATAGACTAAAGTATGTAGTACCTACTGGTACACCAGATGTCGCGACGAGAACCAAATAGCTATTTTTGTAACTAATTTGTTTTACATTGAGAAGCTGCAATTTATTAAAGCTACTTTAAATTTGTAGTAAATCATTTTTTTTTTAAATCATCTAGATGGTATTTTGCACAGATTTTTGTGGACAACGCTGGCTATTTTATTTTGTTTAGGATTAGCTCCATCTACCCATATTAGCAAATGTTAATTTATAAATTATTTTCTTTTTTTACAGTACCAAGTGACGAGACGAACAAGTCTTGCGCCTGGTGGTAAGCGACTCGCCTGTAAATAACCATTGCAGAGCCAGTCAGAGCTTTAAATCGTAAAGATCTTAGGGGCACTGCCACTGCGCCCGTGACACGTTGACAAGTCCCATGTGCCTGTAACTTCACCAGCACCCCTACCCTTCCAAACCGGATCGCAGTAATGCTCACATTACTGCTTGGCGGCAGGAATAGGTAAAATAGTTTGTAACACACGATGCCATCTATTGACACGTATGTTTGCCAAATTTCAGGAAATAATTTAAGATAATATCAATACTTTAATAATATTTAGTAATATTTTATATTGAAGAGGAATTAATTGATATTTACGGTCATTCACAAAATATAAACTAATTCCAGGCTATTGATCAGCGCCATCTAGGCATAAGACGGTTTGACCTTTTTCAGAGTTGCGGACTGTAGTATGGAGATTAACATTCCACTTGAGTTATTGGCCCGTGGCTAAGACTATGACACTAGTTTTACTCACCAATAGAGTACATATTATTCTTGAAGGAGTGAGAACGATATATGTCCCTGAGCTCCTTCATCAGTCGATCAGTGGCCTGCAGGCTGCCGGAGACGCTACCCGATAGGTAGTCTTGCCGCTGATTTTGCCGCAGTCTCTCTAACGTCGCTAAATGCTCTGTTTCCATGTCATCCTGGAATTTGTTTACTAATACATTAGTACTCTCGAAATCAATTGCAATAAAAATAAAAACAATCTTTCTCGAGTCAAGACTAACTTGTTAACTTGTATTTCCTTTCCACAACGATTGATTGATGATTTATTATTACCATAATAATTAGTACCTACAGAGTACTAAAAAAACGGACCTCAAAAGTTCGTGGAATAACATCATAATTGCCAAGTTTTATTGAAATCGGTTACCGGAAATTGCACGAAACCGGATTCATCCCCAAGTTTACCAACCTTAGAGGTGCAAAATATTGTCTAATATTTTCTGCAAATTTAAATGGGACTACTAGCGAGGTATCCTATTTCCAACAAAAAAAAGAATCATGAAAATCGGTTCACAAATGAATTATCGTGTAACGCACCTACCGTCAAAAAAAATCTCCTTTTTTTGAAGTCGGTTGAAAAGTCATAAATTAAACATGTCAATACATGCTATTTTGGAAATGTCAATAAATTTCCAAAATAGCAAAGTCAAAGTATCACTTATTACAACACTTAACAGCACAGTGAACGAGCGTAGAAAATGTCATTTTCTACGCTCGTTCACTGTGCTGACTGAAAAAAAAACGAGCAGGAAACTGTAGGTATTGCTCTTTTCAAATAAACTTACATGCTATGGAATACACTATGAAACTAATTTGTGTGGAATCTAGAATCTAAAATCTGGAATCTAGAGTCATCTCGTCTTTTCATAGTGTATGCGGACTAAATTAAAATTAAATTTAAATTTTTAAATAACGCACACACTCGACATGGGGCTATTTTGAGTGTGTGCGTTATTTCAAAATTTAAAATTACCGAATGGATCATTTTGCGAATAATGACATTATTTTTCATACATACATACTTATAAACGAGACTATAAATGTATTGATACCATTCAGTGATTTTTGAACTTTCAAATCGTGTTTTCTCTCAACTCCACCATTTTTGAGTTGTAACAGGAGATCCTGTTGGTGTCACGTGCGATGTATCAAATTTAATTGCAATAC